GAGATGTAAAATTCCTGAAATTTAAAGCTATGTATGTGGTGTAGTAGTGGGACACACACACTCTCTCTCTCACACACACAGAGGTTTCCCCTGTTCTTCTTCTCAGTGGTCAGGAACTGACACTTAGAGGAAAAATTTTAAAAAATACAACACTTATTTTTGTAGCATCTTTTACAGATCCAAAATCACTTTGTTAGATTAGGAATATAGAATATATTATGCATAACTTTGCTCATAAAATTATTATTACAATTAAAGTTAATTAAAAGTAAACTCAGTAAATGTATAATTATTGTCTGAATAAATTTTACTTTTTAATTTAAATGCCTCAACATAATTGTATTAACAAACCCCAAGTTATGCATAATATATTTTAGATTCCTATTTTAAGTCTGGCTTGAACTTCAGCAAACAGTTCTCAAAACATCTGAATCATTCTAGAAGTCAGAAGAAACAGAAAGACCTGAAGGCTGCATATAGCATCTGCATCTGTTTATGAGAAATTCGTAGGAGTGGAATTAAGAGAAATCTGGTCCAAAGGGAAAGCTATTAAGAGCTTAACCAGAAGAAGAAGGAGCTTTAAGCAATCTCAACATATTATTTAAGAGTGTCATTTTATAAACTATCAACATTTCTTCTTTTTATTTTGAAAGTATGTCTGAATTAGTGGTGTCAATCCCATCCCTATTCCATAGGAACCAGGTACTGAGTTTCTGTTAAGTATAGAGGATTTATTTGGGAGCTTGCAGTGACAGGTTTTGTAGTTGGAGCAGCATTCCCAAATGGGGTGGTCTAATTGGAAGTTTTATTAAACACTGCCACAGTGAGCTCTATAGACCTAAGCCCCAAAGACAAACATCCTACATAGGCGGAATAACTCACACATAGCTCCATTACACACAGTGAATAAGCCACAGTGCTTCTCTCAAAGCAGGCTTTAGAACATCTAACTAGAACAAGCTTACTAAAGAATGCATGTTTTTTTTTTTTCACATCTGACTAGGGTTGGGAACTTCCCTTTTGAAATCTCAGAGGCACTATCCAAATAAAAACAAAGCACATTGTGCTCATCAAACCGATGCCGGCTCAGTTCCCAGAGATGTAATGGGTTTGGGCAGAAAGATAAGGACAGCTCTTTCAGTCTGTGGAACATGGAGTTTACCTTGGGCACAAAAGAATGCTCTGACCTCAGAATTGAACGTACAATTCTGCAGATCAGATGAGAGAGCTCCTAATTCGTAATATGCCTAGCAGATGTGATGGCCACTAGGGAAAAAAATGAAGGCAAGCCATTTAGTTCATAAGTAGGCATAAGCTACATATAGGGCTATCATCCCAAAACTTTTGTGAATACCCTCAGAGCAAGGTGAGACTGAAGGAGAGCGCTCGGTATTGATAGTGTCAATTGTTGCAGAAGAAGCAATGGTACTTGAAATGTCTGATCCTGCCACGTATATGAAGGTATGTTTCCAACAGGTTGATTGGAACTCAGAATTCATAGCACTGGAGTGCTTCTACAACTGATCTGAGTGCTGCTACAAGGAATCTTGAAATGTCTCCTCTGCAGCCCTCAGTAGGTATCCAACCATTTCAGGTTTGGTGACACCATTTTTCTTTAGGACTAAGAGGAAAATTACTTGAACTTGCTTGGGATCATGTAAGAGATTCTATGATATGATGTCAATCAGATGCTGAATTGCTTTGAGGAATTTCAAATGTTTTTCTGGCTTGTTCAAGCACTGAATTAAACATGTTTCAGAGCATCTGGGACAACTCCAGGCAATAGCCTTGACAGAGAATGTCCTTGACTGAATGATCTGAAGTGATCGGCAACTGGGTGAAGTTATCTGTTGCTCCAGGCAGGACTAGAACCAATGCAGGAAAGTAAACTTTGGCTAAACATTAGAAACTTTTTAACAGTAAAAGTGTTCAAAAGTGGAACTGTCAGCCTCAGAAACTACTTGCTTTCCTTCCTGCAGTTATCCTGTAGTTGACTGCTGCATTAAATATCCTTTCTGGAACAGAAGATCGCACTAGACTGCTTTATACCAAGTCATGCCTTTGATCCATCTAGCCCAGTAGTGTAGCTTCTGACTAACAAGAGCTCATTCATCCCATGTTTCAAGCAGGAATGTTTCTAGCCCTATTTGGGGATGTTGAGAATAGAACTTGGGAACTTTTGCAGGGCCTCATTGGTCCTTAGGTCGCTTCTCCATAAGAACTAGTAAACAGGAGCAAATTATCAGTTACTTAATGTATCCTTCTCAGGAACCATTTTGATTTCTGTCTTGGATATGAAGTTTGTCTCTAGACAGCCCTGTTAATTGGCCTTTAAGGATCAGGAAGGGGAAAGGAGAGGGTAATTTTGTTGGGGCTAAATGGAGGAAAAAATGGAAGCGGGCACAAAAAGGGATGGAAGAGAAGGAAGAAACAGATGCAGTGGAACCAGAATGAAAATGTACAGTGAAGATGTGATCACACAACAGATTGGGAACATAACAGTCTCTTAAGTAATGTTCTGAATATGGTACATTAGTAGAAGTAACTTGGTAGAAAGTAATTGGCAAAATGTAACATCCTTTTCTTTTCTACTTTATTGCAGAAAAAAGAAAAAAGAAAGCAATTACAGCCCTACCCACTTTTGCAAAAGTAATTGCATTCCTACCCGCATATTTCTGAATAAGCACTACCAGCATCATGTTGAATTTAACTTCAGAAGTTATCACACAACAAATCAAGCAACTCATTTTTGATCAAGATAACATGAGTGGGTTGACGGCTTTTTCTGGAGCTAGCGGAAGGATGTGTAGGCTGCCTTCTATATACAACAAATGCACCGTTTATGAAATATACAGTGCACAATCTGACTGACTCAACCTAATTAAGTTTTGAATGGTCTACATTGAACAGTTACATTTGTCTGCACCTTTATGACTTCTGAAATAAACCTCCTCCCACATCAAGGTTTATGATGTCTCAAAGAAGTATTAAAAAGGCAAACAGTAACTTAACTAAACTGCCTACCCCTCCCAAAAAAGTATGACTCTAATCAAACTCTGAATTGTTAAGTGGCTGCAAGCAATCAAGGACAGAATGCTTCTGCAGAATTTTCTGAGAATTCCAGCTTTTTGATGTTTAAAAATGTAAAGAGTTAGTTTCACAGGCCATGGAGCACAGTACCACACTGTGCAAAGTACATATTTCCATTCCTGCCATCACCAAAAATGTTATTTTTAAATGGCAAGAATCCACACACTGTTAGCAAACCATTAAGACCATGTGCAGCAACAACAAAATTTTAAAATAGTTCCAAAAGCTACAATAAGGTGAAAATGTTTGCCAATATTCTGTAGTTCCTATTGCATTCCAAGACTATCTCTGTATTGAGGGAACTTCTTAATTCCATTCCAAGTTCCCAAATGTTGCTTAGAACTCCTTGCTTCAACAGTAAAACATTCTTTTATCTCTTTAAAGGGAAGCATAAAAAATAGTCATGCCCCTTCTGTTTGAATTACTATTCATATCATTGCTTGTTAAGTGATAAATGACATAAGGACTATAAAAACACTGTCTGCATAAAAATATTATATGGAAGTATCACTATTAATCCCTCCACTGCCATACACTAGGACATTAATGGTCAATTACTCGCTATAATTCTCATTACAGATGCCCAGAAAAATTGTGGGATTAATAACCTCCCCAAAGCCTAAATACATGTACAAAGTTAATGGAAGATAAAAATCCATATCCAATAGTGGCTATAATGTGGACTCAAATGATAAGCAATCCTAGATGAGATAATGAAAGAAGTGTCTACAAAGGGTGACTAGTAATTATGCCCATTTCTCATATTTAGGAGATGCTGTTTTCAAGGATATGGTAAGAGAGGATCAAGAAAAGACAATTAGCCAGCAAAAAAACACAAAAACAAAAAACCCCAACTGATTTCCATAGACTTTATAAACTGTTCAAGATATGTGAGATATAATTTTCTGGAACAAATCTCCTTTAAAGATTAACACACTCGTTATCATATTCTCTGTTACAATTCTCTTTAAACTGACGTCCTAAAGCATAAATCTCCCTTGAAGGCTGCAATCCTATACACACATACCTGGAAGTAAGCTTCTTTGAACTTAAGGGCTGTGCTGTTAACATCCTATTTTATGATGCATTTAACATGCACTGTGACCCAATGCTCACTTTAACAGCCATGGTAGATTTGAGATGGGAAGTCTTGGAAAGGGCAGATCTGAAGGTCACATTCCTTATTCTCTTCTAACCTGGTGATGTATCTAGGAGTCTTTATTTCTCTCTTAGATGTCAAGATGCCCCATACAAAACTCTCAAGAGGCTTTAGTTTTATGCCTGTCTGAATAAAGCTTGTAGATTTACTAATGTAACTTCACATTCATTTTAATACATCTCTCCCTTTCCCTGAACATAAGCCATCCAGATTTAGGCATACTGAATGACTATCTTTAGATGAATGTACCTTGCCATTCAGAACTTCTTCATTCCTCTGTTGGCTAGGAAAGTTTACAAAGCTTACTCAGGCATGCTCTGCTAAAATGTCAGGAAGAATATGCAAAAGAAACAAAATACAGTTCACTGCTACCTTTCAAATAAGCCATGTAGGCAAGAAGTGGGTAGAAAATGAAAGAAGGAAAACAGGAGGATGAATCACCCTTCCTTTATCCTCCAGGTCGAAGTAAAATCAATCACAGCAGATTCCTTCTTCCTGGGAATCAAACCATACAGAAGAGGTCTTCAGCCCTGCAAATCATCTTTCAGGATGGCATTTATATCCAACTGAAAATAAATTTGGGGTCACTGCTCACTATTCATCAAAGTTTACATAGAAAAATCATGGTTCATGATGTCAGTGCCTTTCAGCAGTTACTTACTATTTGCAATGTCAGGAGCCCATCTGGGAAGGGAAGGGAAGGGGAGATGAGACGGTGTCACTATTACACTGATTTTTAAAGAGTTCTTACCCGAATATAAGCATCCTGTTGATGTTTGGCAAAATATAGCATGTTGTCGAGGGCTAGCATGCCTGGAGGAGTCTGTGTAAAATCCATTGCAGGGTTCACATGGTTCTGTGAAAAGGCAACAAATGAGACCATTAGACAAGTGGCCAAGTAAATGATCATACTAGTTGCTTGGCACATCAAACAAAACATTTCAAAGTTTCTCAAAGGGTGCTTGCGTTTAAGCTTCCAACAGCTTCCTACTGTCAAAACCTGCCTGCTCCTATATGGATTTCTCCATGCTTTCAATCACCTGATAAGGCCCTTCTCCATTTTTTTTCTACCCACTGAGTTAACATGGTGGGGGAAAATAAACAGGCCATTTCTGTGGGCCAAACTACATATTATGCTAAATGCAGAGATGCAGAGATGCTTGTGTTTCCTTTAAATATAAGAGTTAAGGCATCCAGGACTACATGCCCATTTTGAGGTACCTGAGGCCTACAAGGAAAGTTGGTAGCATCCAAGGGCAGTCATGATGAGGTAAAAAAAAAAAAAAAGGACCTTGGATAGCTCCAAGTGAATCCTACTGGGCAGAACTTTCTCCTACTACTTTATATCCATTAGAGGATGTTGTCTAAATAAGAGAACTAAAGCCAATGGCACTGTAGTTAGCTCTGCTTTTGGAAGACAGAAAAGTTGGTCATTGAAACCCTTTCTAAAGGCACAAAATGAGTCAAGTTACAGTTAGTAACAACATAATTTAAAGTAAATTTCTTTGCATAGATTCCCTCCATAAAAAGCAGGAATGGCTCAGAAAAAAAGAGACTGGTCACTTGTGAAAGGAAGAGAAGGAAAGGGCAGGGCAGGGCAGACCCACCCAGTGCCAACACACTTGATTTTATCTTACTCTTCTTCTCAGTAGTCCTGTTGCCCATACAAGCCCCTTTAACTGCATCTGAATTAGCTAGGTTCCTGGGTAAGGCAGGTTTCTTGCCTCTCCCTCCTTACTTCTTTGCCTTAGAATGAGTGCCTAGCAAGGTTATGCTCCAAGCCAAGCCTTCATACTTTATCCTGGCTGGGAAGGATTTAATTTGTGCTTCAGTTTTTGTGCTGTGCAGCTGGAAAAGGGATTAAGGAAGCTGGCACAGCAGCAACACAGAGCAAGGAAATGGGGCCACCAAGCAGTGGGGGAGAAAGGAGATATCCACACCACTGGGTTCATTCATTTGTTCTCATTCTCCCCCGCCCCCTGCTACCCTCTGTTGCAGTAGGTGGGGTGGTGAGCTACCTGAACTAGCATTCTCAGGGCTATGTACACCCAAAGTCCTATTTCATGTGGTTTCCTATTTTGCATCCTAAAAACTCACATCATTCCAAGCAGCAGCTTTCAACAGCTGTTAAAGTTAGCACATTTGGCAGCCTCTCCCAAAGATGAGACCCAAGTGTACTAAACCTTCAGAAATGCTTATCTTCCCTAATGCACGTTCCTGTCAACGGCTGTTTTTCAATTTCTCCGTCCTCGCTCTGCATTCTAATGCACTGAGATGTCTTTGGCTTATCATTTTCATTGTGTAAGACCCAGGTGGGAGCAAGTTTTCAAAAAGAACATTTGTGAGGAGGAAAGTGACTCTTTAACAATAGCATAGATTTCTTATATGGCAGCTATTTATTTCCCATGAGCCCGATCCATTTCTTATTGGGGGTGGGGAAGAAAAAGCTTTAATGAGGGTATTTACAAAACTATCCATCCAAATTCCACAGCCAAGGAAGGCAGCACAAATCAAGACTATGAAATCTCTTACCTTTAAGCAAATGACAGATTTATTGAAACCTGTCACAAATGTGCATTTCAATCAGAGTACAAATTCTGTCAAGTTAGTATACTAAAATATAAATACACATGATTCACAGATGGATCAAACATCAAGTTGGCATCCTTGTCTCAGCCAAGGACAGTCAAGACATAGTTTTGTTTTATTTTTTTAACCACTATGGAACCTTTCATTTTCATTATACCAAGAATTTCAAAGCTGCATTGCCTCACTTCTTCCACCAAATTCTTTAGACTGGGGGAGCGGGGGAAAGGAGATTTATGGGATGAGATGGAGTGGTTGAAAATGGGTGAATATTGCCAGAAGCCCCATATCAATGCACAGAACCTTCACTGCACTGGTTGTTCTGTCCGCTCGACCTTTGTGGTCATCTGGTCAGCAGGCACAAAACACTTCAGTAAGTAACAAAGAACTCTTCTTCATAATTCTACAACTTTCAGATAACTTATGTAGAACTAGAAGTAAAAGGGTTACTCAACAAAACCAGAGATAAATTTAAGACATAGCTAAGCCTAATCAACTAAAGGTTTTAAGTCCATTACATCATCTATGAAGCCAGCCTTCTCAAGCCTGATACATTCAGATGTTTTGAACTGCAACTTCCAGCATTCATGACCATAGCCCTTACTGGCTGTGGCTGATGGGAGCCAAAATCCCCCAAAAATGTAAGTCTGCATTTGGACTCAGGGTGACAGTAGAGTGAGGATTTATTTAAGAAATTTATTACCTGCTTTTCTTTATAAAATAACCTCAAAGTGGGAGAACAGTAAAATAATCAAAATAACCCCATAATCCAACAGTAACAAGGAAATAACAGTGCATAGACTGCAGCAAACAAAACAATAAGAACATTTAATTAAAGCTGGGATAAATAAATAGATCTTTCTTAAGTACCAAAGCTTGTAGGACTTGGCAACACTTATGAGAAGGGAGCAGTGGGCAAATGTGGTGCCATCAACAATGCCTGGGCAGATACACAATAGAGAAGGGGCTCCCTATCAGGTACCTGGATCCCAAGCAAAGCAGTACTTCATGTATCAGCATGAACAGCTTGAGTTTGCTCTGTTAGCTTACCTGCAGCCAGAGAAGTCTCCAGACTTTCCAAAAGTCTATCTCACTAAGCAGCCTGGCTGTGGAATTTTGCACTTGCTGAAACCTCCAGGACTACCTCACAGGCAGCCCCACATTTTGCAGTGTTCCAGTCTTGAAGTTATCAATCCATGGATCAGCATGGCCAAACTATCACTGTCCAGGAATGGCTGTAACTAAGGAACTAATCAAAGTTGGAAAGAAGGCATTCCAAGCCACTTGTGCCTCCACAGACAAGGTGGATCTAGGATCACCCCAACTGACACAACTGCTTCTTTAGAGTGAGCACAATTCCATCAGGAACAGATAATTTCCTTGATTCCTGGACAAAAAGTACCACCTGCCCATAGTGTCTCCATCTTGTCATGACTCAGCCTCAGCTTAGTGGCCTTCAGACAGTCCACCACTGCATCGAGATACCAATGCAGAGGCTGCATGGGTCCTGCTGCATCATCGGCATACTTAAGACACATTACTCAAGTCTCCCAGTGGCCATACCCAATAGCTTTTTATAGATGTTGAATGATATTAGAGACAAAATGGAAACCTGAGGGACGCCACAACTACCATGGGCCTATGGAATGCTATTGTCCAGACATCGGTCAGGAAGAAAGAGCAGAACCACTGACAATGTACCTCCATCACATACAGCCAGTCCATAAGGATATTGTACTCAATGGTATCTAATGCCACTGAGATATCACAAAGAATTAAGAGGGTTGGATTCTCCCTATCCTTCTCTAAATGAAGTTAAGGTAGATTCAGTTCCAAAATCAGGCTTGAACCCAGACTGAAAAAGGGCTAGATAATTAATGTTGAGACTCTTCCCTAGGAAGTGAACATTTGTAATTAGGGAGTACTTATGAAGATCCTCCTGTATCATGTGTGTATATAATTAATAACAACATTGATTGTAAGCCAGGCAGCATAAGAACAAGCTCCTAAGTCATGAGTATCCATGTTGGGACAACTTGAGTTCAGGAGGACTAACCTAATCACCTGTGAATGACTTAAGGAATGACTGATGATTGATCCCTTGAAACGTTTAGGCAAAATGAACCAGCAAGGAATGGCTATCATTGAGCAAAATAAGTCACCAAAGGAAGCAAGTGAGGGAGGGCAGGAAATGTCAGAAGCCTGGAAATCACCCCATCAATAGTAGTCAGCAAACACAGCTTTAACTCACAGAAAACAGACATGGTCACACAGCAGTGAGTAGACAACTATGGTAATCAAGAGCAATCAAGTACCCAAATAATTAGCATAAGTTTGAGAAACAATAGAAACCTTTCCATTCCTACAGAATCAAGAACAGGAAAAGGAGGGTAAGAGCCAGGGACATGTCGAATAGGGTTAGAGTTACAGACCTAGCCACCATCCTGGAATGTGGACTACTTGGACCTCTCCTGCCTACACAAGGGACTGCTGTCAAGAGTTTATTATGCAGGACAATCAATAGACTCCAATCCATGTTTGATCATCTCTATGGAGAGTTGATAGCAAAAGAAGGCGGGGACAGCAGAGAATGAGGTGGCTGGATGGAGTCACTGAGGCAGTCGGCATGAGCTTAAGTGGACTCCTGGGGATGGTGGAGGACAGGAAGGCCTGGAGGAATGCTGTCCATGGGGTCGTGATGGATCGGACATGACTTAGCGATCAACAACAACAACAGCAACAACAACAACAACATGGAGAGTTTTCCACCATTTACACCATGCTTCATCTTCTATTGCTCCACTGAAAAACAGAAGACTCTTCTAACTTAATCTTAAGGGATCCCATCTTAAGGGCATCTTAAGGCAGCCCATCTTAAAGGATCTCTAACCCAGCAAATGTCAGTTGTCAATCCAACCCTTATCAGGGAGTGGTCTGACCATGACAATAAGGTGATTTTAAAAAATCTAGATTCAGAGAATACTCTTCACATCCTGACACAGACTAAATTAAGGGCATGCTCTGCATTATGTGCTAGGCCAATGTGACACTGAAACGGCCTCCCAGTCACTATCATGATAGCCATGAAGTCCTGAGTGAGCATGAAGAAGGGAGTTCTAAAATGTAGTTGAACTCTCCATGAACCTTGGACATCAAAAGCCAAACTTTATCTTAATTTAAACATGAAGCTGCTGCCACTGAAAACAATTCTTGCACATTTAACTCCTTCTCTCGTCCCTCACGTCCAGAACAATGAACCTGACTCCTGAC